TGAACACTTCTTTAATTTAAATACATTATGTCATAAATTTCACCATACTAACTGTTTTACTGTCTGGATATCTAAACATCCGTTCATCCTTGAGAATAACTTATATTCGCATCCCAATAATCTTCTATCCATCGCTAAAGCAAATTAGTGGAGTTTGTCACCAAAACTTTATCCACCAAGACCACTCTACATCTATTTTATCTCATCTTATCATGTGTTTTGCATAAACACTTCTCTATCAATGTCATCATATCCAAGGATATTAAACCATCTAACGACCTCTCTGCTTTAATCTGGTTTAAGACTAACCCCATATTAACTTAAATTACCACTCTCATCACTATAAATCAATCTTTAGTTACACATCTATCAATAATAAAATCTTCCATCCTCAGTTTAAGTTTAGGTTTCAGTAACTTAATTCACTTAAACTTTGCTATGATACCACTTGTAACATCCCAAAATTTCGAATACTTAAATATATCAAAATTGGTATCCCAAGATCAAACACTTACATTGCAGCTGAAATAAAATTTCTAATCTGACAATTTATATCACCATTTAAACTTACAATCTTGACGAACATACTTTGTTCGATATAACAATGCCTTGATCTACACATGTCCTTCTTTGATGCTAATCCTTATTTCTCTCTTTATCCAACTTTTCTTTCCAGTCTAATAGCCGCCTGGGTGAAAAAATTTTAAAAGAGTTTTGGATGAGCCTTAGGCACAGTAAATCCACGGTTTTCATGCATGAACAACAACTTTTATAAAAACAATTTTCACGAAGCTTCATAAATTTAGCATGCCTTGATGAGAATAATGATTTTCACAAAATAAAGATATTTTAGCGCGTGCCTACATCACAAAACAACGGCGTCATGGGAGGTGTCTACCTCACACAGCATTACCTGGCGAACTCACACAGCATGTCCGCACTTACGGCTTAGACAAGCTCACAAAGCATGCTCGTCTTTACAAAATCATACCGTAGTACATCCCCATTGACACACCAGTACTCAAAGCACATATTATAAAAATATCGAACTTTTCACGCATATGTAGCATATCAAAAATCTCGAGAAACTTTAAACCACTTTTGGATAATAAGGCATACAACCATTTTAAAAATAAATCACGTGTAACTCACCATACAGGTCATAACTCCAAACTGTTCCTCGAAGTTCCTCATGTTTTCCCAAAAAAAAAATGCATCAAACTTGTTGCGCTTCAGCAAATCATCCTCATCTTTCACCTCTCTTATACGAGTTTCCTTCCCCGAGAATTTTTCATTTCTATGCTTGAAGACCTCCTCATATATATATACTTAGTCATCGGCGGTTTCACGGAATATGAAACGATAAGCCATAATTAATGGTCATAGATTTCATGACCATTGGGTTTCCTATCATTAATATTATATTCAATTTTTTTTTTGGTTATTACATTCTACCCATCACTAATGGCCTAATTCCACAAGGGTCTCTAGTAGCAATTAATAAACTATGGCACCAGTGCTTGTTCTACCCATCAATAATGGCCTAATTCCGTAAGGATCTCTAACAATAATTAATTTAACGTCAATCAGACAATCAAGAATAGCATTATATAAGCTCTATTACACTTTTAGAAAACTTCAACAATTCTAAAAAAGAACATTCATTGTTTAGATAAGGTAGTTTTATGTATAAGAATTTCGATACCAAAATTGGTATAAGAAATTAATTTTCTTCAAGTTTAACTCTTAAAGTTTAATAATTTACGAAATTTCTATGAGTGACACTTACTCGGCCAAATTCGGTATATGGCAACCAATGGTTGAACCTTTTTTAATTAAGCGACTAATAATGGAACATCTGACATGATCAATAGCATTATCACAGGAGTTAGTCAACTTTTGACTAGTTGAAGACTTTCAATACAAGAGCTCTACCTGTTATGCATTTGAGAGCGTCATCAGGGTTGGCGAAGACGATTCCAACACCTTCTTGGTCGTGATGTTGAGGGATGTGGAGAGCTAGGTAGCATAGACAAGGGCCACAAGGCGAATGTGACAATGAGTCAACAACTGCAATCGTGACAGACATGGCTATAACAGAGAGGTGAAAGGGTGTAGGTTATGAACGACCAAAGTTGAACAAAATAGGTTTTGATGTTTTTAGGTTTTGAGATAAACTAACGTTGACGGATAAACATAAAAAGGAAAATGCTCCTCAAGTTTGATTCGTAATTAAAATCAAAACCTTATAATTAATTCGTTTAAGAAACTTAGGGGCCGTTTATTAAACACTTACTTGGTAAGTGCTTAAAGCAAAAATTTCCTCATCGGATGAACATGAGAAATGCCAAGAATCTTACCAGGTAAGAGCGATGAGAATGATGGAGAGTCTTACTCGGTTAAGTGAAGATGATGACTCTCACCCAGGTAAGTGCTTACCTAGTAAATTGTTGCATGCGATATGCTTTGATATACCAAAATCTTATGCATCTAAATAAAATCTAGTGTTGACTCATATTGGTAAGCGCTAACCGGGTAAGCATTTGATAAACGACCCCTTAATCCGTTATATACACCAATATTACAGGGACTAAATTTGTAAAATGCTCTATTTAAAAGGTGAACACGGGGTCTACGTCATGTTTACGATCCCGCGTTTTATCGTTTATGTAAAATGAATATCGAATATTTAAAAAAACATGCGTGTCACACGTTTTCAGGGGCATATTCGTAATTAAAAACCATTTCGTTATCCGAAAACCGACAAAGGGAGGAGGGCAATTATGTAATTATGACAAACAGATTATATGGATGCGCGCCCTATATATAGAGGTACTCGGTGCTTTACAATCTTCATATCGAAGCTAAATCAACGCAATTGCAAGTTACAACGAATTCGAAATTAGGTTTTGTGAGAGAAGTTTCAGAGCAAAAATGGCGGAAGAAGGAGTTGTCGTTGGCTGCCACACCGTTGACCAGTGGAACGAGCACTTTCAGAAGCATGCTTCTTCTGAGAAATTGGTAATTCTCAATCTTCTTTTAGTATTCATTTCCCTAAGAGATTTGTCTTGATTTTTTATATATGGATATACAAGTCGATGGTATTGGGGTTTTACCCTTTTGAGTTTGATTAAGTGGATCGAGTGAATAGGGGTTACAGGTTTTAGTTTTATTTTTAGGATGCATTTACTAGATCCCTCTAAATCGGTTATTGATTCGTATGTTGTGTCAATGAAAGGGGGTTTTCTTCCTCTTTCAAAATCTCTTGATGTTTTGGTATGGAGGCCTGTAATCGTGTTAATTGAAAGACATACCCTTGTTGTATTCTGTGGAATTGCTTCAAATGATTTTGCGAACAAATTTCCATCGATTTTAAAATTTTGTTGCATATGGAGATGTTCTATTGTTGATTTGTTGCTTTTTCTTGAATAGGAGTTGTATTGGCTTAAGACTTCCTTTGAATTTTGAAATTATACTTTCCTTTCCTTGGTGAACAAGTAAGAAAATTTGGTCAAAGGCAGCTTTGTTTCACAGTCAGAGATTATGATGGCTTTGGTTTCATACAAGTTCGGGGCTATTTAGCTCTATGACCCTCCTTTGCAAAATGACCTTGTAGTGAGAACATATTTTGAAGTTCTATAGAAGGTCAGGCTACTAATTGAAAACGTGTCACCCGATCCAAGAACCCTAGGATTTTGTAAGCCCTGTATGTATCTCTTTGGGTGTGGTAATCCATTATCCGTGTTAAGTTACAAGTTTCCTCCAAAATTTAGGTTTGGTGTTTGTTTCAAGTCACAAGCTCATCTCTATTTTGAAAAATTCTTAAGGTATAACTATGGCCCCAATTGGTTTGATTTGTGAATTGGATGGAGAACTGCATTCTGTAGGTCCATATAATACCATACTATTTTGATTTGGCTGATGGATAGACATCATTTTGATTTGTGAGTTTTCAGTTGCTGCTTTGTATGTTATTGTTTACTCTTAATCAGCTTTTCAAAACTTTTATCTCATCCCTCTTTCTCTCTTCGTCGTACTTTTCACAAGTCGGGTGAGTTCATATGGAAACAACCCCTCTACTAGGGAAGGTCAGGTCTGCATATATCTTACCCTTTCCGGACCCATCTCTGGATGGGTTAGATTTGGTTTGTTCAGTATAGCTTGGTCTGGCCAAGACATAAATGCTTCACATCTTTTAACATTTGAACCAATTTGTGGCAGGTGGTGGTGGATTTCACTGCCTCATGGTGTGGTCCTTGCCGCATAATTGCACCAATCTTGGCTGAGTTTGCTAAAAAGATGCCCCATGTTGTCTTCTTGAAGGTGGATGTTGATGAAGTGGAGGTAAATGAGGTTTTATTTATTTATATATATTTATTACATTGGTTATATTAGAAATAAGTTAACCATAATTCTTGTTGGTCCATATATATATACAGAGCGTTGCTCAGGAGTATTCTGTGGAGGCAATGCCAACATTCATCCTCTTCAAGAGTGGAAAACCAGTAGACAAGGTTGTGGGTGCTAAGAAAGATGAACTCCTGTCCCGCATCGTTAAGCATTCAGAAGGAGCAGCAGCTGTGTCTGCTTAATTAAGATGCTAAATATGTTGATCAGCAACTTATGTGTTTCTTTTATATTTGGATATGAAGTTTGTGTGTTAACTCTTGAACGTCTGTATTGCATAAATTAAAGCTGCTGTATTAATATGGTTGGCAATTCAAGTTTTTGGTTGTCTTAACCTGCTTCTTGTTTTAAATTATTGTACTTGGCAAATGACATTACGTAAAAGATGTCGTTTACTGATAGTGAAAAGTCCAGAAAACCCGATGGACTTGTAGGTTTTGTATAATTCTTTTGAACAAATAAATCGTTGTACGATTAGATAAATTCTTTCGACAAAAGAGAAGTTACAGGTAAGTCGGTAACCGTCAAAGGAGGTAAATCAGTTTTAAAATTAACCCCTAGCCCCTATCGCCCCTATCGTTGATTCTTGTGTTCGGGCACCTGGTGTCTTGTGTGAAGTTGATCGTGGCTTCGTTGCTGGAACAAGACCACTATTGTTGCTTCATTTGTTAATATATCAACAGGATAAAGTAGAAATACATTTCAGACTTTCAGTATTGCTTAATTTGTGAATTTAAGGATGTCATTCAACTGTTTGATGAAATGTTTGAATTGCGTTTGGTATTAGTTTTTATAGGGAATTAATTCTCTTCCAATATTCTAAAAATGTTACTATTGTCTGTGTAAGTGATTACTCCTCGACTTGTGGAGGGTCAAAGTGTAAAAAAAGTTTTGACACCTGTGGACCAAATCTATAAATTAGTACCAACATCTCCTGAAATGTGATAATCGGATCTTGGTTATCATCTGAAGTAATTAATACGTGATTATTTGTTATATGATTACGTGAGAGCATGATGAATTACTATAATTAATCATGTGAGAATGTGTATTTTTATGCATAGGAGATGTATGCATAATGTGTTAATATGCATGATTAAAAATGCATGCACAAAATATTTGTGCATGCATTTTTATATAACAAATAATCACGTATTAATTATCTCAGTGGTGGACGTGTTGAACTGATATCTAATTTACAGATTTGGTTTATGTACTTGCGAAACTGATTCAAAAAGCGCCTTTTCTTACACTAATCTCTCTGGAAGTTGAGGAGTTGCCACGTGCGCACGTAGCAGTATTTTTTAAATATTGGGAAAAAATGACCAAGTGATGAAACCAAAGTTTGGAAAAGGCTATTTCTATTAATTTTCATTTTTATTTATATTTGGACATTGTTTGACAAAAATAAGCTAGCTCATAAGCTAACTTATTTTCTGGGTACATGCTTGATGCACATAAGCTAGCTTATAAACTACTTTTTTGAAACGCTACTTGGAGCAGCGTTTTGATAGTTTGTGTCAATTTTTTCCAATTATAACCTTATTATTTATTTATTATTATTAATTATAAAAGATATTGAACATTACTAATATTAATTATTATAAATTAAATATTAAATATAGATTAATTTTAGTTATACATTACAAATTAATATTATTTATTAATTATTTATAATAATTATTAGTTATATTAATTATTTTCACATTATTAGTTTTAATTATTATCAAATATTTATTATTAAATATTTAGTTATTAAAACACAAATATAACAATTTTAATAGAATTGATCGTTTCATTCAGCACCATTTCTTTCATGGTAAAATAATGATCTACTTGTGTGTGGGGTAACTTTGGCATGCCTTATTTCAATTGATAGTTTAAAGTAGATATTTTAGAGATTATTTTTTTAATAATATTTTAAAATGGTTATTAACATAAAAAAATAAAAGAGAAGTTAAAAATCTGGAGAAAGTTTTAAAATTGAATATTAAGTAATATTATTTTAATTGATTTTATGAATAAAATTTAATGTATCATTATTTTATATAAAAAAATTTTAGGATGATTAATAAATAAAATATTTTAATAATATAATTAGTGTTTTAACACTTTAAAATAAAGAACATGTAACAGTTAAATTTTTTAAAGATTTTAACATTTAGTTATTTATTTAGAAAAATTACAAAATTGGGCAAAATCCGACGGGATGGGTTAAAGGGTGTATTGTTACGAGGCCTTGCATATTGATGAATTTATGTGAGATTTAAACTATCCGGTAAGTGTTTATTGATAAAATTTAACACTATCATTTACTTATCTGGTAAGATTTTAGTCCACAAAAACGGTATCATATGCAACAATTTACCCGGTAAGCGCTTACCGTGGTAAGAGTCGTCGCCCTCACTTACCGGGTAAAACATTTGGTCCTTGTCTCGTTATTACCGGGTAAGATTGTTGGTCCTTAACATATTCATCTGGTAAGATAATATGACTTGATGTTCATTTACCCGAGTAAGCGTTTGGTAAACAGCCCCTTAGGGGCTGTTTACTAACTCTTACCGGGTAAATGTTGTCTGGGTAAGAGTGTTGACCCAAGTAAATGCTATCCAGGTAAGTGTTGTCCCGGGTAAGAGCGTTTACCAAATGTTTTTGGTAAGTGCTTATCAACAATAAAATGATCATTATAATCTTATTTATAATTATATGTTGAATAATATATAAATTTTTTTAATAGTTTAATGGAAGAAAAAAAACAAAATGCATACTTAAAATAAATGATTACCAATAAAAATAATACTATTTTACTTATTTTCGTATGATTAACTGTCAAATAAAAGAACAAAATATAATTTTCATACTTCAAATTAAATAGAAAAATATATTAATAATTGTTCATACTCAAATACAAACGGGATATGAAACATTAGTACCAAAAGAAATTGTTTGTTTTTCATCCTAGACAATAAAAATTAATTTGAAGCATTTGAATACAGTTGAGTCGCAATCAAATCCTTCAGATTAGCCATATATCTATTGTCTTGAGAAGCCCCCCATTGTACTTCAACGACTTCTTCTTCAATACCTCATCCATGTTGCTCTTCCGCATTAAACATGACGTTCTTATCATATTGCATAAACAGTTGATCTTGAATATTACATCTTCTTATAAAATTATGGATTGCAAAACAAGCAACTACTACCTCTATTTGTTTTGGATAAGGATAACAAGTCATTTGCTTCAGAATTGGAAATCTTGCTTTCAAGACGCCATATGCATGTGCATGGTTGAACTTTTCTTCTTTAGTTACCGCACGTCGGCGTCGAAAATCAGCTAACCAATGCCGTGTATTGTGATATGGAGTCAAAAATCCACGGGTATTGGGGTATGCAATATCACAGAGATAATACGTATCTGCTTACAAATATAACTAAAAAAAGACAGAAAAATAATAATTTTTCACTATTAGAAAAATTATTATACATACTTGGTGGAGGAAATGGAAATCCCGAAATTGGGTCAAATACAACTTCTCTCAAAACTCTAGTACATGTGGAATGTCTTCCCGTCCAACCCAAACATATGTGAATATCATATTAAAATCACACATTGCCAAAACATTTTGAAAACAATCACCTCTTCCCCTTCCTCTATATCTTGCTTGTTGATTTATGGGCACAAATGCATGTATCAAAGTTCCATCTAGTGCGCCTATAGACCCCTGTAAAAAAACCATAAATTATATATAACAATATTATAAGAACTTATCATATTTTACAATTTATGAAAACAAATAACATACCGAAAATATTTCTTTGAGGTTTCTGACTCTCTCTAACATGTTCAAAGTTCCATTAAAGGATGTTGGTCTTATGACTTCTCTTGCGAATTCTATCATTCCAATTAGCACTTCATGAAAACATATATCAATAGTTCGTGTGGAATGTTGAAATCTCCGTTTAACCATTCTAAAACGTTCATTATGACCAATAATAGTTACAAACATTGTCATCTTCTCTTCAACACTTATACGACTACTGGATTGCAACCAATTGTTTTGTTTAAAATGGTTACACAAGAGTATAAGCATCACGAGATAGACACGTCAATTCATGACATTGTATATTAGACCCATGTAATAATTCTTGTGTATACGCATGTCCGGTCAAATTTGAATTGTTACCTATTATTCATTCTCTCCTTTCTATTCTTGCTTCAACTCTTCTTCTCAAATACCAATATGCAATCACCACAATCATCATTAATTGATTATGATCCATATAACCTTGCAAATACAAAATACAAAAAAATTGTATTATGTTTCATACATGACATAGATCTTTAACATACAACTAGAACAACAAAAACATCTAGTTAAACAATAAACAATAAAGAGTGACATAATATCAAATTGAACATATTAAAGTTCCAAAACTCGTCCATACAGAAAACACCAAAAAGTGATAAAGTTCCATACTCGTCCATAGAAAACATCAAAACTCGTCCATACAAAACATGTCGGTCTAAATACCACATCAATATCAAACATCACGTGCTTATTTTAAGTTAAGTTGGCGTGCCGTAAAGTTAACTCATGACTCACACCTCTCATCCTTCAAACGTAGCCAAATTCTCCTATAATCTATGTTTTGTCGAAAAAGGAAAAGTGTGATGTCATATAATGGGCTATCTTCCCAACCAAGTTTTCTCCAATTTTGACATACAAGCATCCATATCTCCGTCCTCCAATGGTTTGTCAAAAATGGTTTTCACATGTCACCACATGAGCCAACTCATCTTCCCTTACCAATGGTTGATTAGCTTTTCGTTTTCTGGTTTGAGAACGAGAGGAACATTCTTGTGTCGAGCTGGATGGTACTTGAGTTAAATTAGATGGTCCTTGAGTTAAATAGAGGTGCTTGATCTGAAATAAGAGGTGCTTGTGTGGTATCCAAGCATTGATCATCAAGACTAAAGGCGGGTTAGAAACATTAGCAGCACGCGAAGGGTTATGAGAATTAGACCAAGGTTCCCATACCCATGGTCGCCATTCCATCAAAAACTTGCATACAAATATTAGGATAAAGTAGTGGTGCATTCCTCAACTTGTCAGCATATTTACTCAATTGTTTATAAAAAATAAAGGAAAAACAGATAACTAAAAGAAAAATATAAAGAAATTAAATTAGAAAACCAAAAAAAGAATTGACCTTTGCCTCTGCCTTCCACTCCTCTTCTAATAGATTGAATGTGTTGTTTGTTGGGTTATAGACATTACCCGTTTTATTCGTTAGTCTAGACCATACAGTGTATTTCCCTCGCAAATAATCATAGTGGTTCTTCATTTGTCTTTGATTAACAATGA